TACTCAGCCATTAAAAAGAATTCATTTGAATCAGTTCTAATGAGATGGATGAAACTGGAGCCCATTATACAGAGTGAAGTAAGCCAGAAAGATAAAGATCAATACAGTATACTAACGCATATATATGGAATTTTAAAAGATGATAACGATAACCCTATATGCAAAACAGAAAAAGAGACAAAGATGTACACAACAGACTTTTAGACTCTATGGGAGAAGGCGAGGGTGGGATGTTCTGCGAGAACAGCACTGAAACACGTATACTATCAAGGGTGAAACAGATCACCAGCCCAGGTTGGATTCATGAGACGGTTGCTCAGGGCTGGTGCACTGGGAAGACCCAGAGGGATGGGATGGGGAGGGAAGTGGGAGGGGGGATCGGGATGGGGAACACATGTAAATCTATGGCTGATTCATGTCGATGTATGGCAAAACCACTACAATATTGTAAAGTAAATAGCCTCCAACAAATAAAAATAAATGGAAAAAAGTAAATAAGTAAAAATAAAAATGCAAGATTTAGAAAAAAAATTAAAATGAATCTATTAATGTATTTTCCAAATATTTTTTCAATTGGTTCTTTTTTGCTTATAATTTTGTTTATGTCATTTCATTTTATTTTCACAACAGAGAGAAGTGCTTGAATTTTGCATAATCATCTCTATAAATTTTTCCTAATGATTATATAAATACTTACCAATAGCTTAGCCTAGAAGTATGTGTATGCTTTATTTTTCTGAAATTATTTGTGTATGTCTTGTAAGGAAATTAGAAATACTTGGTTATATTTGGTAGGAAGAGTTCCAGGAATATCTTTCTGTTTTGCTATTTTTCATCATTTCCATTTTTCTTTCTTTTCTTCCTTTTAAAATTTGTTTCTATGTAGACAAAAGCAGAGTTCAAGTTATTTGGCTATCTGTGACCTTTCTAAGGCTTTCTTGGATTTCCTGGACTATCTTTTTAAAGATATTTGTATAACAAACAATTTTGGAAGAGAGAGACAGTATGTGTTTGCTTTTGCCTATTATAAGAGATCTGGGTTCCCTAAACTCAGGATTTCTGTCTATCTGTCACATACATTGGTGTTATCTGATCTTCTTTGAATTGCCTGTTGGAGCTGGGGTCTGGGAAATTGACACAAATCTGAGATTTGACTACTGTCAGTGCTGTGACTAACAAAGTCCTTTGTCTATGATCCAGTCTTGTGTTTTCTCCCAGCATTCATGAAACTGTGGCAAGCTAGCTTAGATTATTGGATGGTAAAAATCACACTCTATGGTTATTGACAGTCTTGGTAACCAAGAGGGAATGTGAAAGAGCAAGGATGAGGTCCTCATAGACCAATTAAAAGATTTTTGAGGAAAGCCCTGGGAATTAGTGTTGAACATGTTGACCAAATTTTATTATCAATCAGGCATTAAATACTTCTGTAATTTTTTGTTGCAGGCTGAGTACTAGAAAGTAGGGTGAAGGCCAACCATGTGAAACAGTGCCTGGGATGTTGCTGACTCCCATCTGTGCAGGGCACTTTCCCAACCTGTTGATTAGCTTCAGGTGTGCCTCACGGGGACAATTAGTACTAATATTCACCCTGGTGACAACAGCTGGACTGTTTTATGACTCGGTCTCTCACGCCAAACTTCAACCCATTCAGATTAGAGCAAAATGTCAGGATATTTTGCAGATTGTCCTGGCTGCTAAATGGAGCAGTGGCTCTTTGGGGGAAAACTCCCATGGGAATCCATGGATGTGGTATTAACTAATATCTGAGCTCTTCCTGCCTGGGATTGGGTTTCTAATGCTGAGGCAGATGACATATTGGAGAATGGGAAACTGACACAGAGAACTCTACTTGTATTCTTACTGTCAGTTCTTAGTCCTGGAAAACTTAACACTGGAACTAGGTGAAGCCAAAAGGCTATTTTTGATAATGAGGCCTTAAATACCTCAGGTTGAAGTTGTCATCTTTTTTAGTCACTAATTTGTATCTGACTCTTTGCAGCTCCGCGAACTGCAGCACACCAGGCTTCTCTGTCCTCGACTATCTCCTGGAGTTTGCTCAAATTCATGTCCATTGAGTCAATGATGCTATCTAACCATCTCATCCACTGATTCCTCCTCCTTTTGCCTTCAATCTTTCCCAACATCAGAGTCTTTTCTGATGAGTTGACTCCTTAAAAAACTTGCCACTCTATGAGCCAAGCCCAAGTCAGCAGAAAGAAGCAAATCCAGTGACACCAGCCAGAGGAGAATGAGGCCATGACTGCCAAAGCCAAAGTAGGCAATATCAGCCATGAGGATCTTTACCTACCTTAAATCTTTGAATCAGTCCAAAGCATTGCAAGTTGATTTGTTGGAGTCATGAGCAGTCACACCCAATTTGAAACTAAAAATAAATAAATGTAAAGCCTTACTGGTGTAGAAGGCTCTTTTCCCTTTGTACCCCTCCTTCCCTCCACCCCCTCAGGTCTCACCTCAGCTGCTCTTATTATAGATATTTGAAGCAACTTCCATGCTCCCTACCAGCCACAGACATCTAGCACTGGAATGGCCTCCCCAAAAACTGACTAAAAAATTTCTAATTCTACTTCCTTCACCTTCTCCTGGTCCATGCACTTTAGTAAGGCAGTTTGGTCATGAATGCTGCTGTCCTCAGAAAGGGTTCACTTCCCCTTGGCTGCTTTCTAGGGAATGGTCAGGACAAAAGGGGTAGGAGGTGAAATAGACCTATTTTGAAAAATTGAGATTTCTTCCTGACCCTTCTTGCACGTGTCTTTCTCTCCCCTTATAGCAAGTCCAGGCCAGCCTGGCTGGTATACTCTCTAGATGGCAGTTCAGCCAAAATGGTGCCCAGGAGCTTCCAACTTAATTCTGATTCTACCATCTGGATTCTCCAGTTAGATGAACTTGGTCCTAGATCATAAAGATAATGCCACTTGACTGATCACGAGTCAAACCCCCATGCAGTGGTCCAGACAGGTAGATGTGGGGTACATAAAGTGTCTGTATAACTTTTATTAAAATGTCCAAGTCTCTTGCACCTTTTTTTCTCAGTAAAAGGTCTGGTGTGTGATTAGGAGATAACTACAAAAAAGGTGAAATTATCAATATTTGAATTGAACACACCAATTTTGAAGCAATGGAGGACAGACAAGAATAGTATCTGGGATTGGGAACCCCAAGAGACACAGAAGAGAGATGGATCTGCATGACCTCTGTTTTTCAGAATCACCCTTGGAAACTTCTTCATGATGGGCAACCTCCTGGTGAGTTTCTCCCAAACCATTGCATGTGCCTTATATTTTATTGACTGCTGGATCTGTCATCCTCTGCCTGATGCCTCTGACCACAATTTGGCCCATTTCCTCTAACGTCCCTGAGAAGTCAATCAGAAACAACAGAGGATGTCCTCAGCTCCTGAATCTTTCACAAAAAAATCTGTTAACACCTCTAGATATTTTCCCTACCCCCCAGTTTCATAATTATGTCATTTCCTCTGATAGACAAATGCTACCCAGCTGGTGGTGTAGACAAACAGGACAGGTTGGACTGACTGCCCTTAGGCAGTCCTTCTGAAAACAATGATATAACTTAATTGCTTAAACTGAACTGGAAATGTAAGGTTTACCAGTTTGCTGAGAGCTTATGTTAGAGGCACTGTCAACACCTTCCCCTAAATGATACAGGCCTTATATAGGAAACTCCAACAATTATAATAACACTTTCTTTCCATGGGTATGATGTACATCTTTTGTACTGTATTTATTTTGTGGAATCCATGCATTAACCTCCCTGCCTTCTAAAAACACAGTGACTTACAATTTAGCAGTGGTCATAAGATATCTTCCAGGGTTTAAGGAAGAAACTGTAGACTATATAGTCTTTAGGACTGCAGAAATGTCTCCAAAAAGAAGCTACCTTGGAGAGATTCCCAGAGAGATAACTGACATTTATGCACACTCTGTGTGTAGTTATCCTTATGGCAGAAGTCATCCAATTAAAAAATTAATTCCTGACTTTAGTTGAAGTGATCAGTGGTACTACCTTATCCCTGGCAGGCATTCAGGTTGGCCTCAGCTCACTGGTCAGGGTTGTTACAAATGAGAGGATTGCCCTAGATTTCTTTGAGGCCCAAGACAGAACCTGTACAATCACCAATACATTCTGCTGCACCTGGATTAATATCTCAGGCCAAGTGGAAAAATCAATATAGAAACTTAGAGAGCAAAATCACCTGACTTTCTAAGGTAGAACCTGGTGATATATGGAATTTGTTCAGCTGCCTGGGTCTGGACTCTTGAGAGACAAGTTTGAGGTCAATAGTTCAGGTGGGCCTTATCCTGAGAGTTTGACTCCTATTGATAATAGGTTAATTGAATGCTGTGTGAGAAAAATTGGACAGATTTGGTTTTATTGGTCCTGACTAATCTGAGTGGCCTGTGGAGTAGTAGACTCATGGGATATTTTTCCAGATATCCAAGACAGCATAGACAGTCATTCTCATTGTCAAGTATAATAAAGGTAATGTTTCCTTTTGCAGCAAAGAACAGGAAACTTTACTCTTCATCATAATATAAACATATTATGTATGTGTATGTTGTTGTTCAGTTGCCCAGTTGTGTCCAATTCTTTGGGACTTCCTGGACTGAAGCACGCCAGGCTTCCCTGTCTGTTACCATCTCCTGGAGTTTGTCCAAGTTCATGTTCATTGCATTGGTGATACCATAGAGCCATCTCATCCTCTGACACCCTCTTCTCCTTCTGCCCTCAGTCTTTCCCAGCATCATGGACTTTTCCAATGAGTCATCTGTTCACATCAAATGACCAAGATACTAGAGCTTCAGCTTTAGCATCAGTCCTTCCAGTGAATATTAAGGGTTGATCTCCCTTAAGATTTACTGGTTTGATCTCCTTGCTGTCCAAGGGACTTTCAAGAGTTTTCTCCAGCACCACAGTTTGAAGGCATCAATTCTCTGGTGTTCTGCCTTCTTTACATTCCAGCTCTCACAACAACTGGGAAGACCATAGCCTTGACTATATGGACCTTTGTTGGCACAGCAATGTCTCTGCTTTTCAACACACTACCTAGGTCTGTCATTTCTTTCCTGCCAAGAAGCCATAGTCTTCTAATTTCATGGCTGCAGTCACCATCTGCAGTGATTTTGGAGCCCAAGAAGAGGAAATCTGTCACTACTTCCACCTTTTTCCCTTCTATTTGCCTTGAAGTAATGGGGCAGGCAGAAGATATTAAGAAGAGGTGGCAAGAATACACAGAAGACCTGTACAAAAAAAGATCTTCATGACCCAGATAATCACAATGGTGTGATCACTCACCTAGAGCCAGACATCCTGGAATGTGAAGTCAAGTGAACCTTAGAAAGCATCACTATGAACAAAGCAAGTGGATGTGATGGAATTCCAGTTGAGCTATTTCAAATCCTGAAAGATGATGCTGTGAAAGTGCTGCCCTCAAAATGCCAGCAAATTTGGAGAACTCAGCAGTGGCCACAGGACTGGAAAAGGTCCGTTTTCATTCCAATCCCTAAGAAAGGCAATCCCAAAGAATGCTCAAACTACCACACAATTGCACTCATCTCACATGCTAGCAAAGTAATGCTCAAAATTCTCCAAGCCAGGCTTCAGCAATACGTCAACCGAGAACTTCCAGATGTTCAAGTTGGTTTTAGAAAAGGCAGAGGAACCAGAGATCAAATTGCCAATATCCACTGGACCATGGAAAAAGCAAGAGAGTTCCAGAAAAACATCTATTTCTGCTTTATTGATTATGCCAAAGCCTTTGACTGTGT